GAGTGAAACAATTGATTAGAATGAAACACTGATTCGTTCACATTTTGTCCTCATAAGCACACCCGTGTAAATTAATCGATATAATTTGAGAAATATAATATTATTTCATAACTGGAGCAATTAAGCATGAATGAAAATCGACAGATTTAACGATAGCTTAAATTTGAACAACTGATACGATTCACGGAAGAAATAATTTTGCGCAGAAGATTGGTTAATACTTTCTAAAATTACAAAAAAAAAACACACACACACACTTGCAAGAACATTTATTTCAGTTTACAGCAATACTCATCATCGTAACTTTGGTATGAATATACAACAACAAGGTTAGTAAATTTCTACATTAAGTAGCATTGAAACAATAAAGGTCTTTTTAGATGGAAATATCAATGAATCTCAACGCCAAATTTGATCCACTCATAACTTGTTAATACTGTGATTGCGAAGATTAGACACTGAAGTGAACATAATTGAAGCGCTGATCAATTTACAACCGATTGCTTCGTCCTCAGTTAGTGGCAGACCTTAATTTTCAATCTTGTTCATCATATTTCACATCAAAAGAGCAGTAAAAATAACATACGATGAAATAGTAAATTTCGAATCATTCAATAAGTAAAAAGGAATGCGAAACCGACAACACTTCCTCAGTTTTTGATCCAAAAATATAAAAAATTCTGGTTAACTCTTCCTTACCTCAACTTAACGGAATCAATGTAAACCTATATTTCATCAAACAAATGATTTCATTTCATCACCATAAAATTTTATGTGAACAATACGAGTCTACAATCATAATGTTATTATTCTCGCTCTATTTTTCAAAAAAGGCAATGAAAAATATTCAAAATATGACGATCGTATACGACTGATCACTTTTTCTAAACCTGACCAAAAGCCTACAAAATGATGATTTAATTTATATGAAAAGACCAGAGACATACCCAATCTGCAATCGACATCACCATCAGTGCAGTAGCTCTCATCGCAAGGAACCAAGGTAACTTTCCAATTTCTTTGACAACAAATATAATATAACAGTGTATCAGTCGCATTGTTTCGATTACAATCGTGAGAATCAGATTTAATCGAGATTCAATCAGATTAAATTACAATCGAAGAAAAGATGAAATTACGAGCAAACTTTAAACGGACGAAAGTTCACATAACCCAAAAATTACCTATCTCACAAAGCATCAATTCTGCACATAACTAAGAAGACGCAAACAGGCTTCTAAGAGCAAGATTTATATTCTTCAATCTTCCTTCAATTATAAAGGAGCTAATGCATTCATTTGAGTTATGCACAAATACAAATCACAACGTATAGTACCAGATCAAATAAAGGCGAACAGGCGATAATGCGCTCGATTAACATAATCACTTTTGTATTTTTAGTTGGTAAAATCAAAAGGGTATTTCATTTGTACACAAGCGCAGTTGAATGAGCAGTGTAGTCAGTCATTCTCCTAACCCCGTAGAATTGTTTTAGCAGCCCATTCATCTTGCGTAATTGTGGGCAATACATTCATATTGCTGTGAGTTCGTAACTAATTGTTAATCCCCTTGAAATCATTTTTGGGATCTATTGAGCTTGTGGACGACACATTGCGAATAGTTCTTATTGTGCTCTGACTACACTACTCATTCATCTGCGCTTATGTACAAATGAAAGACCCTTCTGATTTTACCAACTAAAAATACAAAACTACCACGTAATGACTATTCATAGCAACGTGACTGAAAGAGTCAAATCTGATTACTGCTAAAGATGATTGCGACAGCATTCATCGGAAAATCGATGATCTGAAGAGGTGCGTTTGTTAAAGTGCGCAACATGGTATCAGACGTCATTGTGATGAAGATACACATTCAATCCAAGAGTGACTATAGTCAGAGTGAAATATCGCGATCGACTACATTTGGTTTCATGGTCAGGCTCATACTGGTGAATCACCTAATTATTTGATAGAAACCTCGCTGCAGTATGATAGAACCATCGATTTGTTTAATGAATACTTCAGTCCGATATGAGCCTCAGTCTGAGCCTAAGCCCAAATATAATACACTACCATATTTCGATCAGTTGCCTTCATCTTATTCGAAGATATCTCTGCGCACGATGTGTACAGTGTGAACAATCAACCTACATGCAGCACTTCTACGAACATCTCCTTTCAGATCGAAATTACGAATACTTGAAATGTGCATCTCATAAAACGATTGAAATTGAGTGAGCGAATGCATTTTTGAAGGATACATCAATAAGAAAAAGATTAATATATAATGCTTCGTGAATTTAACACGAGTAAAATTAGTAACAATCATGAACGGGTGTAAAAGCATCATTAAAGTTGCTACCCTAACTGGGAACTATAACTGATGCAATGAATTCAGAAATGATCAAAATGAAACAACGTTAAACTTGACAAAAAAAAGAATAATTAGCTGATGTGGTATGCTTTCAAACAGACTCTAACTCAGCTCTACATTCTTCAAAAGCAACTTTCAGTTGACCAGCGACCTTCAACGCATTCAGTTCGGTAAAACCTCCAATAAAACGACCGCAAATGAATATTTGTGGAACTGACGTTTGACGAGTCACATACACTAGACCATTCACATATTGTTGATAGCATTCGGGAAAGCGAGTCTAAACATGAATAGTTTTATTTAAATTTTACTGAAATTATATCCTTGCTATGATACTGAATGTCTTATCTCAATCATTATAGGAATTTATTTTGCTTTCAGTCTGCTTCAACTGATAAAACGAAAATATGTTGAATTGTTGAATGCGCCAGGCACAATGTTAATACTACAATAACGTGTATGTTCAAATTAGTAGAAAAGAGTTATAAAATAGATAATCTCATGCAGATTATTCAAAAAACTAAAAAAGATTCGCTGAAAAGAATGAAAATAAATTATTAAAAGAATTCCTCACACGAAATGTATCCAAATCTTTCTCTTCGAATGGTATTTCTTCTTCACTGAGCAATTTTTTAGCTTTTGTACAATAAACGCATGATCCTCTTGTATACATAACAATCGGATGCTCACTTATTTCATTTTTGATTTGCGAATCATTAATACGAGAATCAACTGATGAAAAATAATTTCCCATCAGAAACTAACGCAAATCTAGATATTTTCTCTGAAAGCACTCAATTTTTAGGTTATCACTCGAAGAAGATTACAAAAACTTTTGAATCGTTCACAACGAATATGATAGAAGGTGACAATGAAAGTCTAAGATTGAGGTACAAATGATGGCCTTCTATAGAACGAAAATGATAATTAAAAAACTTGATTGCCAAAATCGTATGCGAGACAAAAACATCTGATAAGTCTCGAATATATTAAGAGGAAAAAGAGTGGAGAGCAATGGTAAAGACAGCAAAATAGTTTTGCACAACCAGTTAAGAATGTTTATTAGGTAGATAAGCGACTTTGAAATGAGAATGCATGCGATGCACACAGCCCTCTAGAGCAGTGGTTCTAATAGGGGATAACTTACCTCCTTGGTGATAATTTGGGGGTGTCAGGGTGTAATTGACGGGGTCGTTGAACTAATATTTCGTGCAGTTGTTATGTTATGATGGAACGCCGTTGCGATGGTGTTTTCCATTTGGATACCTAAATGCAACACTTCAAACTCTCCTGATAACACTCTTCTTCATCCTATTTTCTGGCTATCTTTACCTCGTCTAGGCCTGAACAAAAGTCAATTTGAAGTAAACACAGGTATTTCTTACGTTCTTTAATATATTGGCTGATATCGTCTCTCATGAACTGATTGAGTTTTTTGGTGCGGCAGTAAAGATCATTGGTTTAAAGCGAAACAAGCAAGTATTCCTGAATTCATCCATTATTATTATTCGGTTGCACTGAGAAATTTTAGTAAGTTCTTTAATTATCGTGTACAATTGGGATTTTGGTTCGTGAATGAATTTTGTGGACGAAGTAACTGCTCAGTTGTGTCATATGTATGTAATTTGTGAATTACGCTGTGGTGGACGTGTTGTGGGATTCTAGATTGGAAATTACTTAGGCATGCTGTTATTTTTAAGCGTCTTCTAAGATTGCATTCATGGAAGCAGTAAGTTCCTGTAGCAAGGAGGGAGGGGGTTATGACGGCCTCTCAGACCATCGAAAGAGGCAATGGAGTTCCCGAACATGAGAACCACTAATATAACGCATAACTTGAAGAGGCGCTTCATTATGTCTTTTTATTTCAGCAAATAATTCGAGAGTAGCTGTTCGCTCTCCGATAAGTGAAAGTAATTCAAGCAGTATTCATTGTAATTGATGACAATTTATTCCTACTTTTCACCTTAAGTGCCCTGCTTTCTCTTCCATTCTTCAACCATTCGAGTGTTACAATTTTGTAAGAACGCAGAGTCGATCGGAATGTTGCGAGACTCCTAACAACTTTATGAGATGCATTCAGATGACGCTTCACTTAGTTAAACCAATAAATCTATTCATTCACGAATCGAATCTTTCGAATGTACTAAAGGTTAATAAACGACAATAATGAACATGTTAATAAAAATTCAGCTGTCAATTAGTAAAATACAAACATATGTATGTTTGTAAAAAAATACAAATATATATATATATGAATTAAAAATATTTATTCTTAATAGTGGTTCAATAAAAAATGAATGAAAAATACTTTTCTCAGTGTCTAGTCGTATTTTTTAATATACATCTTACTAAGATATCCTTTTTCGCGTAAAAATCATCATCGATGATGGTATTGTGTTTTATCAATGAATTGCTCAGGAGGATCAGGGCTTATTCGCTTGTTTACGATGTAAATTGTGTGGATAAAAATTGATGCAATCGTTAGTGAACGAATAAGGATCGAAGATGACAGAATTTGACACAAACAGAAAGTTTTCATCAAACGATTCAACGCAGCAAAAAGTACGAAAAATTCGACGCAGAGAGATGAAGCTTTCACAGTGAATCTTCGCTCAATAATGTCACTATGCAACTTTGAGTTTATCGTGACATTTGTTTGTTTCACATTCAAAATGCTCACCACAATCACGTATTGCTAATGTACAAAAGCGATCTTCAACTTTAACACATAAACCATGCTCACACGTTTCACCCCATTGACACACTTTTCGTGCACAATCTGAAATTTTTTAAAATTAGTTTCGTCTTTAATCATCAATGATCATTTTTAAAGTAATGATTTTACTAGTTATGTTGTTGTATGAGTAAGTACGCTAATAAAATGAAACTTTCCAGTGAATGTAAGCTTGAAACGATTGCATTAAGCAGTGATTCAAGTACATAAGCAATGGAAGTTAACGAATTCATTCGATGTTGTCGGTATTCGAAGGAATTAATTCTCATTGAAGAATTTTTTCTAATGATTGCAGTTAGGAACTACCTTCATCTTTCTTCGGAATGCAATGAGAGTAATGTTTTAGAAATGACTATGATATGCTCACTAACATGGCAAGCTAGTTTACTAACATGAAAAAGGCTAGTTTTACTAACGTGAAAGGCCAGTTGCGAACGTGAAGAAGCAAAACATTCTTCGAAAGGAGAGTTCAAATTTTGGGGGGATACATCGTTATTCAACTTCTTAAAGTGAAAGTGTTCCTGATAAAAACTCAAAACTCTCATCGACAAGATCTTATAAGAGCAAAAACGATGAAAATTCTTGAACCGTTTATTACTGAATCATAGAAGTGAGCAATAACGCACTATTCCGCTAATCCGCTACTAGCGAAGTTACTGTTTTCGGTAACGCGATAACATGCTACTTTTTTCAAATAGCGGAAATTTGTAGCAATAACTTCCGCTACAAAAAATTTTTAACGGCATAAAGTAGCGATAACTTAAGCTAAATTCACTGGTTAGCGTTTTTACGAGCTCTTCTTTTTGAGACTTTCGCTAACTTTCCGTCTGCACGTGAATACCAAATCATAGCCTGGCTCAGGTTCGCAACATCAATGATATTGGTACACCACTTAGTTTCGAGCGAAACTTTCTTCCGCAAACGGGAGTCAAACCCGCGACGATTCTAACAGGGGTGGGAATTAGATTTCATTTGGTGGAATAGATCGAAATCTGCACTTCAATATTATTATATATTTGGAGCAATTGTGAGGATACAAACGTGATGATGAATTCTTAAACTGGGGTTGATAATGACGGCTTGATCTTGGACGAATGAGGAGAGGATTAATTCATGGTGCTGGATGTTGAGGGGTTATTCGGATTGTTCTTACCGATTCTAACCAATTTTGTTTGTTTTAGAGCTTGTAATTACTGTATTGTAACTAATAGTGTTATTTTATACTATTAGATGAGCCCTCGTAAACTGTAATTAATAGTGTTATTTTGTGTATATGGTGATCTGTGAGAACTGATAGGTGTAACTTAAGTGATTGTTATTTGTGGATTCAATTATCTTAAACAATGTATGTGAATAATGATAATTGATTGGTGCAGTGCTCAAGGAGAATGTATGACGAAGACCATGAATGAATGCGACATACAGTGGCAAATATAAAGTACACAGATCGAATTTAATGGAATTATTGAATTGAGTGAGCATAATTATTTCGGTTGGCGTGTAATTCATTATTCAAATCTACTGTGAGTAGCTGTTGAATGAAAGTTACTGGGACAAGTATGATAGTTTCGATAAATCCTCATTAAATACTACGAATGTTATTCTATTCACTACAAATTTTGTGGGATAAGTTTGATGAATTCTGGTTTTGAAGCAATTCGAAGTGATAATTTCGCTTGATTCCAGCCACCGATGTAATAATTATACTTACAATTAATAGTATTGAGAGCAAACCAACGAACCAGAATGATATTCAACTAAAGTCGCTTGATTTGTGCTGACGGTACATAGCTGATTGTGGTTTATTGAGTGGTGTTGTTTGTTTGACAATAGATCGCTGTCATAGAAGTGCGCTCGCCTTTTGAAACGTGACTCGGATAGGTTGTCATCAGAGTGGAAATTATTTGGGTTAAGGGAGACCTGAATGGGAGTACTGAGTTTAGTTTCGGTTGAAAGGGATTGTTTTTGATTATGGTAGCGACGGAATGACTTATTGAGTTGTCTGGATTGTAGACAATTGTTTGATGACACTTTGCAAGAACGTTTGGTATGGAACAAGTTCCAACTTAGCACATGCATCAATCTGAGGTCAGAACCATGAACTTGAATTTGATTGCTTGATTTGATTTTATTTGAATTTGCATCAAAACCAGCGACTTTTTTTGCATTGTACTTGTTTCTGACCTCAAACTTGGTTAATCAAACCATGTAATTTTACATCATACAATCAACGTGAGTCGTGAGATATTTACGTAAACATATTGCAGATAATTTTACATAACATTATAAGAATTAACTGATCAAATTTCAAGATACAAACAATTACGAAATGGAAACTGAGAAATGAAGTGGCTGCATAAATGTATAACAATAATCGCTCTGAAGGAGCGGAGTGTTGTGTTGTAGACAAATGACTGAATGATGGCTTGATGAATTTGTTATTTTTGGTCTGATGTAACAAAGAGACGATTGTGTTGTAATAAGATTTGATTGTGAGATTATGAGAAATGATGTATATTCGATTTAGAAATTTGTTATGCAGATAATGCGAGTTGATATGCATATAGGTGTGTGTTGCGATTAGTATGCTTGCAATAAGTGTGTTTGGATCTGGATTTGTTGTACTTATGTAGAATGATGTGTTTTGCTACGGTTGTAACACGGAATTAATGAAGCACGTGTGTCCTGATTTGAGTTTTTTGTGAATGATAATCTTCGCGACCAATCAATAGTCGCGATAGAGCTAACGATGGGAGACAGTATGATGACTACTAGTTTAAAATGTTATGTGCGGTTTGTAGACGTGAAGAACTTAACATGCTATATGAAAATGAAGCGTAGTGAATCTGGAAGACGGGATTCTGGAAATCCTTTTATAAGAATACGAAAGCGAATTAGTCCGAAGAGAACACCTCTTGAAGAACACCCCTGCTGAAATGTTCTGACTAACTAAATGAATCACCATCTTGGACGGTTTGTAAGAAAATCTCGGATTCACCACTTTTTCAGTAATAATAGCGATAGCGAATTATTTTTAGCCGACCAAAAATATTTCTTCTTAGCGATTAGCTGAGACACTGTTTTCAGTAACGCGCCCGTCACTGTCAAATCATCTTAAAGGCGCATATCGGCTAACTATTAAAAATTCATACTCTGGAACATATCGGTAACATTTTAACAGGTTATTAAGGTTTCCAAGGTTTTTTTTTTCAAACATTCAATTGCAACTATAATCGTTAGATAAAGTAGTAGGAGAATTGAAAAAATTACAAGTGAAAAGTGATATGATGTGACAGTTAAATTCACCATTTCGTGTGCACCTTCCATCAACGCATTCGTACGGATGTGGGCACTGGCTATGACAAAGCATTCCTTGTAAATGTCGACATTCACCAAGTCGACAAGCATGATCAATTGGACATCGATTAATGCATGGGTCAAGAAGGCAGTGTCCTTGAATGCACACTGTATTTCCTTCGCATACGTCCTGTGTACAGTCACGTCCGATTACTGACACACACGCACCATTCATGCACACTGATCCTTGTTCGCAGAGCATATTTGTGCAACCTGAATGACATTTAATACTTCATGCTTGAAACACCATTGCTTGAATTCTCTTTCAAATTCCATCTTAATCAGTCCAGCATTTTTTGAAGGGTACAGTAAATGTGTTTAATTATATTAGATTAGCACTTCATCAGTTAAAAACTGAATTTGGCTGGTAAAAATAATGAAAAAATCTTACTCGGATCCGGAAAACATTTTCCTTGCTGACATGTCTCTCCAGGATCACAGATACACTGTAAATTAAGAGTAGTTGAAGTGCAACGATTAGCAATGCAATCCAAGTTCGGTCCACAATCAAATGAAGAGAAGCAGAATGTACCAATCAGTTCAGCACATCTGCCATCTCGACAAATTTCAGTTTGTTTGCATGACACGCCAATGCACCCTTCAAAGTATACGCATTTCTTTAAGATGTAATCCAACGTCGCTTTTCTATCTTGAAATGAATGATAAATTGAAATTGCAAACGATGCAATGCAATAATCAATTACTATCTTCGACGCATCGTCCATTAACACATTTTCCTCTTTTACCACAATCTGAAATTATCGCTCCGGCAGTTGAATTTGCCACGAGCACATTTCGATTGCATGCAAGACCAACGACTGGATAGCAACGACCCTAAAATGATCCAATTATAGGAACTGCATGAACCTAGCGATTATCTCCGTTTTATCAATTTTATAGTTTTTGATCGTAGAGATGCTCACTTTGCGCATAATTTCTGTTGCACTTCAATGCAAAATGAATAATAAATGAATGAACGTAATAACTATTAGCTATCACCCACTTGATGACAACGAGTCATGCTAGGACATTTGATCATATTGCAATCCAACGATGGCAGTTTCCCATCAGGTGATAAACACTTATTATCGGTACATTTATATTCCAACGGGCATTCAGAGTCACCGATAAAAATAGGACAACGCTCGCATGTTGCAACGAATAGGTAGTTGAGCAGAATGAATAAAATAAATTGCATCTGCAATAGATAAATCAAAAAGTTATAATGGTCAATTACACCAGACTGTAATCACAACAAAAAATGTTGCTGCATTCAGCGTTTAAAAAATACATTTGATGCTATTACTGAGGCTTATCGGCCATCAAAAATACTCGTAATAATTATATAATTTGGTAAATTAACAATAAGGACAACAATCTGGGTTCACTTGAACAATATCTTGGAAATTTGATAGAATGATGACGATGAACGCATGCAGTCTCAAAAACGATTAATACGAACGAATAATGAAGTTCTAAAAATGCGAGTCAGTTAAAGTTCGTTGCAGTTAAAGGTTGTATTTAACGTTTGCTGGATATTCGAATTGGTGAGACGAAATGAGGATGGAATAATCATCATTAGATCGATGGCCCACTTTCACGTTTTGATGGACACTTTCTGTTTCATATTTTCTCAAAGATATTCAGATAAAATGATCAAATCTATTTAAAGAGTCAGTTTGAAAAATTTATATAATCTATGGAGGTAAAAAATTGTTTTCAATGTAAATTGCAAGAATTCATTCATTGACTGAGCCATCACACCGGTGAACCTCATCTTCAGTGAATATGATGCCTAGAAACATTGGTGGGCATTTTTTTTTTGAAGCGCTGCTCACTTACTGTTGATAAATCGAGCAAAAGTTTTTGTTCGGCTCATGCTCATTACTCACGACAGTAGTGCAATTGCGCTTACTCGCTCACTACACATGCTCACAATTTGCTCATGTGCTCGTCAGCTCCACTCTACTGCTCCGGAATAATATGTCTACATACATTAGGAGAATGATGTTCAGAAACCCGCCCACTCCCGACTGTCCAACGCTGTGCAATCTCTTTTTTTTGCAAAGACAATGGAATTTATTAATTAATTGATGCCTTTCATGCGTTTCATGTGACCTCACATTTCGTAAAACATTATGCGTCACTTGAACACTCATCATGTTCAAATGAATGAACAAAGTGGCGATGTTTAAGTGTTCCAAAACTAGATCAGTGACTTTCTAATCAAGAAATAAGTACTGAAATTCATCAGATTTTTGTCGACATGTGAATCATTTGCTTCCTTGGTATGATCAGTCTGTTGAGTGTTTTACCTTCAGCTGTTAAAGGAGAATCAAAGGAATACGCATGTTAACGAGTTCCACAAATGGTACAATATGATGAATGCGACATGATCCTCTTGATGAGTGTCTTAAGAATGGATGGCATTCTCCGCATCGTTTGCACTGCAAACTGAAAGTAAATATCGTTTTGTTGCAACAATGTCTTTCTATCTTTCCCGGATTTCAGTATATGCTTCATTGCATCAATCAACAGCGATGTTTAGATTTTTGACTTCGCCACTTGGTCAAAAAAATAGTTCAGCTACAAGAGGGAACAAGGCCATTTCACGCGAAACGCCAGAACGCCCTTAACACAATAATAATCTATGTTGCAAATGCTGTCGTGAAAATGCTATAATCTTATTTAATGATAATAATGCCTTAGTGGAAGTGTTTTTCAAGTATTGCGATTAAATTCTATTCGTGTGTGGTCTACCTTTCACATAGGAAGTTCACAGTGTATCGCAAAAATTAATCCTTATATCTGTGCCTAGTGATATGGAACTCACGGGCATACAAGTGAAATGTGAGCATGAGCAGTGAGTGAGCCGCTGCAAATTCGCTCAAGCTTTAAGCAGCTATTGGATAAGGCTGGGTGAGCTTGTGAGCAGTGGGCGAACAACCGCAAAAACCCTTTTGCTGTGAACAGCTCCGCTCACTGCCCACTAACTGTGAGCATTGAGCAGCGCAAAAAATTCCGTTCACCTTGTGATCGGTGTACGAACAGTTGCAAATGCGATTTGGTTGTGAGCAACGAGTAAGCAAACTCATGAGCATCAAGCATGGGTAGCTGAAATATTTCATAGGCACTGAGTTAGTAACACATTTTATTCAAAAAATCTCCAAATGTTATATCATTCTCACACGGCTTTTTCGCACCGAGTGATACTGATCCGTATGAAGCGAGTTTGAGTGCATATACCTTGAACCAATCTCAACGGTTTAGTGCAGAAACGTATGTTATTCCCACAATTTACTATTGAAAGCGTATGCGAACTTTTCCAACAAGATAGGTAGTAATATGAATTCTTCGGGAAAAGATATTCAAGTTGAATTGCAAGCACAGTTTAAAAAATGAATCAAAAGGCCTTAGTAGAGAAATTTTTCAGAGAGTAATGTTCGAGGAAAGCGGATATTATCTGTTTGAGTTCGCTGTCAGGTATGAGCCACTGATTGTGACTTCTTGAATTGTTCTCGAGTATTACGTACAGTATTAGTGTTGGTACAATACCATTGGTACAATCAGTCAAGTTCGGTTAAGCTGTATGAACCAAATTTGAGAAGTTGCAATTGTTTCTCATCATTCAGGTGAGCTGATAAGATGGAAACACGCAACAAATAACGCTCGACCATTCAAAACTCTTCGTGTGATAGATGGAATGTGCATAAGTTAACTGAGTATTCGCTGAATTCTTCACTCTAAAACGTTTCGCAGTAGTTATGGTAAACGACTGAAAAATTGATTCGATTGGAATCCATTTTCGCTGACGAAACGTTTCTTATCAACCGTCATTATTTCATATTGTTGTGTGAGAAAGGCGCGAAGATATCTAACGGTGATGACTCGGTGACTATATCTTGCCCGATTTGTCGATTACTAGGCGATTTTGATGACTTTTTCATCAGCTATTTAGCATAAGACGTGATCACGTTAGTGCAAGCAATTATCATCATTATTTTGATGTGTAGCTTGTTCAGCTGAACATCCTTTTTTTTCAATTTGCCAGATAAACACGCCGTTCAAATCTGATATTTTCATTCAATCCAAACCACAAATTTATTCAAAAAATATTTTTATGTAATTGACTTGATTAATGCACAAAACGATCAGGATTGTTTAATATGATATATGCCATTGTTTTCAAGTGGATGTTCAAATAAAGTAATGATTTTAATAGAGAAAGGAGGAAAGGTCAATGCTAGAAGATAGGGTTAATACAAGGAGTGAAAAAAGGGTTAACGCTAGCGATAATATATTA